AAGTATCCTGTGTTAATAATTGCAAATCGAGATGTCTAACAGACACCGTATGGCACTGCTCCACCTCTTATCCTGCCCTTAGGGTGTGAAATACGGTCTGAAATAATGCTAGATGCTGACATACGTACAAACCATTCTGAATACAAGTTAACAATATTACTGATTTCTAAGTGATCACAGTCTGTACTTCCTGGAAGGATAATGTTTATTTATGATTCCCAAATTTATCAATATTTGATTTGACTGCTTACCTTTCCACTACCTTCTCTTGTATCTCTGGTTTCTGTATGGATCCTGAATGGGAAACTATAGGAGCAGGTGTAGTTTTGCTGTCAAAGAAGTCTATAAGAAAGGACAGAAGCCTATAAACAAAAAGAACTGTTCAAGCTTCTTTATAAAGTTCTGACTAGACAGAAATCTCAATTAATTATCTTACTGAATATCAAGGGAAGAACAGCCAGACATTATTTCACTTGACAGCCTCAAACAATTAGAACATGAAATCAATAAGCATGCTGAAAAAACACCACGGAATTACAAACTAGCAAATAATGTCCCTTCTCTACTTCCACAATAACACACCCTAACCAGCTAATAGCAATAATTGGAAAAACAAATGAAAACCTTTCCATCATCAGATAAAACACAGCTTCTCCTTACTAAATCACTTACTATTTCAGTCATCATTACCTGCAGGCAGAGAATTAGCTATTACTTCTTCAGTTGGAGGTGGAATATCAGTTTTATGCATAACACAAGATTTGCCTGATTGATCTTGTTCCTCTTCTTCTTCTTCTTCTTCTTCATCGTCATCATCGTAATTTCCTGACAATAAACTGGTACCCGAACCCTTTGAAAGCTGTTCCTTTGCACTACCGTGCTCTGTTTCATCAAAAAAATCTGCTGGTAGCCTAGTAAAGAACACACAATATAACTATTTCAAACTTCACAAAAGTCAGTAACAGTCTACCATCCGAAGCCTGTTCAATCTGTGAGCAAGACCATCTTGTAGATATCATGCAATACCCTAAACTGCACAGCTACTGATGTAACCATTGTCTGAAGGCAGCACATACTTGTTGCTTTCTTTTGAACTTCCCCAGGATTGCTCATGTTAATTCTGAATGCACATTTCGGTTCCTTTCTTGTGTTTGAATATTCAGTATGAGAAACATTAATAAAAGTATCTTATAATAAAGTGCATTTGTAGGAATGGAAGCTTAGGTAACTCTATTTGCACATTCAAAGTTATTTGCATCTGTATACCTGCTGTGAACACATTAAATACAAAATTCATAGTTCAGAGGTCATATTAATGTCACGTAAACCTTCATAGCCTTCATGTATAAACACAACTACTTATTTTGGGTACCTCCTGCGGCTCAGAACTGCAGCTTAGAAGGGCCACACAGGCTCAGCAATGAGCAAACACAGATGTGCTTAGAACAGCTGCAGGCCTCCAAGCCAAACATTTTTCCAGGTTATGTTTTAAAACGCTCATACTGATCAGTTTAATAACGAACAAACCTCTCAACTGTTAATTTTGCACACACATTCAAAATATCCACAAGACAAGTGTCTTCTAGAGTTAAGATAACAGCACGTAATATCTATGCAAGATAATAATAATAATTTATCCTGTGAAGAAGTGTACAGGAGACCTGCAGGCCTCATGTGACATCTACCAACCCCACAAAGATGCCCAGAACTTTTCAGTGGCAGTAAGATGCTTAACCCAACCCCTTGAAGTCAAATATGCTCCTATGTTTGTGAGAGTTCAACTGCAAGATATGCATTTACATGAATTTTAAGTGACAAAAACATCTTAACATGACATTTTTTAGTAGCCTTTGTGAATAAATTTAAATGTACATTTAAAATTTGTCTTAATTTCAGACTACCATCTCTTCTGCAGTATGCTAGAGCTGAAGATTAGAGTGCATGCCACAATCTAGTTATTTTCATTCTAGCAAACTGCGTAATACCGCCACGTATTAATCCTTAGAAGCCTGATAATGACAGTAAAATAATTCCTGTTTTGCCACAGACTCTAGAGCTAATACCATGATTTTCTCATCTGCACTGAGGAAGATGCTGTTATGTTCAGGAACATACACCCACATTAGAAAATGAGCAAAGCAGGGATCTGCTGATTCTCTACCCTTGGCTCAGAAGGAGATGAGGGAAAACGGGGTGAGAATGTAACAGTTGGTACAGTTACAAAAAAACCCCACATGTAGTAACATCCACTTACCCAGATGTAGACGTATGTGGCTTTTCGTCTGTACCTGTACAACAGTCAAGAGTCACTTCTTAAAACCCATACTTTTAAAAGAAATATCACTCAAATAAAAGTCCTACTACAGCAATAAGTTCACAAATGCACACTTTCATATATTTCATGTATTTACACGTTCAGGCGCACCAAGGGAAAAAAATTTACTATCTTTCTTTTAGCGTGAACTTTCACACATGATTTGTGGCAATCCAGTGGCTTGATGCCACGAAAAGGAGTGACACCACTTCTGGAGCAAGCGCTTCTACTGTTTAACTTACGCCAAGCCCACCACCTAATTGAACTCAATAACCCAGAAGGCAACTAGGTAAACTACCAAAAGTGCAGTTTTCTCCCGATCAGTGAACTCACAGAGAAAGAACAAGACAGACTTTTAAACAGCAACAGGCTGGCATTAACAGTCTTCTGTATTCACGCTCGCTTCCACGAGGAAAAAAAAAAACCCAAACCACCCAAAAACATTCAAGATGTAAAGCGACCAGATTCCGGCAAGCGCTTGGTAAGTATTTTTCTCTCCTTACCTTTTACTTTCTTTAACTCTGTATTTTCTGTGTCAACAGTTTTTCGCTTGACAGGCTGAGATGACGTGCTGGCAGCTGCAACCGTTGCCGTCTGCTTTGTGCCTTTTAATTCTGCAACCCTCTGTAAGGAAGTGTAAAAATCAGGAGGCTTTCCTAGCAGGAACTTCCAGACCGCAGCTTAAAATACAGCTCTTTTAGACCACTTTTTTTAAAATGAGCTAATATTTTTCCATAACAAGATCACTGAAATAGACATGGCAGACACAGAAACCACGGCCAATGTTTCCATCAGCCTCCTGAATGATGCGACACGGGGGCAGAGGACTTGGCACTTGCACAGGGGAGGCTGTACGCCTGAGAAGGACTGAGACCAGCGACATCCACAGCAGTGCAACACTGGAGAGGAGAGCAGGAAGGCCGGACTCATCTGGAACGTTAGGTGCTTTAAAATTAAAACACAGCACTAGGATTAAAGAGGTGTCACCCTGCCCTGCCGCAAAGATCTACCCAGGTCGCAGGCAGTGAGCTACGCACCCCTCCGTTCTTTCGGCCTTTTCCTCAGCACTTGCTCAAGGAAATCCAGTCTCTCACCTTCTGCTAAGCAGCAGCAGAGTTTAAAAGGATTTAAAAAAAAAAAAAAAAAAATCAGACTTAAGGGTGCGTGCAAGTTACAAGCTCCCTGAAACTGCTGTACACACGCTTTACCCTAGCTGCTAAATTACCAACAACCCCCATGTTTTAACGAAAAGCAGCAACCCCCCGGTAACGCGGTGTAACCTCCCCTCCCCGCCCTTCCCCCCCTTCTCAGGCGGCGCCCGGTCGCTCCCGAGCAACAACGCCCCGGCCAGCCCCGCTCCCCCCGGCCACCGGCCACCCGGGACCGGCGGGGGGGGCCCCCCCCCCCCCCCGCCCCCCCCCCTTCTCAGGCGGCGCCCGGTCGCTCCCGAGCAACAACGCCCCGGCCAGCCCCGCTCCCCCCGGCCACCGGCCACCCGGGACCGGCGGGGGGGGCCCCCCCCCCCCCCCGCCCCCCCCCCTTCTCAGGCGGCGCCCGGTCGCTCCCGAGCAACAACGCCCCGGCCAGCCCCGCTCCCCCCGGCCACCGGCCACCCGGGACCGGCGGGGGGGGCCCCCCCCCCCCCCCGCCCCCCCCCCTTCTCAGGCGGCGCCCGGTCGCTCCCGAGCAACAACGCCCCGGCCAGCCCCGCTCCCCCCGGCCACCGGCCACCCGGGACCGGCGGGGGGGGCCCCCCCCCCCCCCCGCCCCCCCCCCTTCTCAGGCGGCGCCCGGTCGCTCCCGAGCAACAACGCCCCGGCCAGCCCCGCTCCCCCCGGCCACCGGCCACCCGGGACCGGCGGGGGGGGCCCCCCCCCCCCCCCGCCCCCCCCCCTTCTCAGGCGGCGCCCGGTCGCTCCCGAGCAACAACGCCCCGGCCAGCCCCGCTCCCCCCGGCCACCGGCCACCCGGGACCGGCGGGGGGGGCCCCCCCCGCCGGTCCCGGGTGGCCGGTGGCCGGGGGGAGCGGGGCTGGCCGGGGCGTTGTTGCTCGGGAGCGACCGGGCGCCGCCTGAGAAGGGGGGGGGGCGGGGGGGGGGGGGGGCCCCCCGCCGCCTCTCTGGGCAACCCGTTCCAGTGTTTCACCACCCTCATTGTAAAGACTTTCTCCCTTATACCCAGGCTTTATCGGGTCTTTCAGGAGCTAAGCCTCTGGAGCACCAGCAGAACTACAGAGGCACCCTAATACAGCTGTAGGTCGCATCTCTGAAGAGATTTCCTAAAAAGTGCCCCCAAAGCTGCCCAAAATATATAAAAAAAACAAAAAACAAAACAAAACACCCCAGTACCTCCCATACACCCAGATCCAGAAACCCTCAGTGTGCCACATGATTGTGAAGAGCGCTCTTAAACCCCCCCAGCTTTTCTTTACACCTCAGCTTTTCGCCAATCTGGGTCACATTTCAGGCTTTGGAGGGCTGCGCCCCACCCCCCCTCGCCCCCCACCCCTGCACGCAGCAGCACGGAGAGCAGCATCCCTTTTCCCCACTAACATACAGCCCCCCAACAGCATTTAGTAACCGCATCACGACCAAGGACAGCAGAGAGCTTTCCATATTTTATTTTTACCTTTTCGTTTACAATAGTACAATAAAATAAGTTAACTGAAAAAAAAAAACCAACCCCTACCCCCAAGTTCCAAGTACTCCGCTCCAAGCCACAAGCAACCATTAAAAGTCAAACCCTGGGTTTACAGCGACTTTACCCTCGGGAGGACTTGGTCAGAGAGGACGCCGTGACCAGAGAGCAAGCCATCCCCCGGCTCCAGACCCCGCGGCTCCCCCAAACACCGGGTCTGGTTCGTCCCGCACGACAGCTTGTAGGGAGCTGGGGGAGCACGGCAGGCAGGGGAGTGCGTGATTCGATTTCCGCTTTCATAAAAAGACAAACGTCGTGGTGAGACATTTTGCCCGGATGGCAAATCCCAGGTGTGTAAACCCATCCAGAGCAACACGGCAGCCGGAGGAAGACGATGGGTCGGTGTAGCTAAGGGAGAAGGGAGTCACTTCTCTTTTGAGGTGATCAGGGCAGATGGCTGGGGCGAGGAAATAATTGATTCAGTAGCAAAATAGGTACAAGAGTACACCGAGACTACAGAATCAGTGAGAATATACCTTAAGCTTGATCAAGATCTACGTTTACCTTTACAAATTGTGTAGAATATTTAAAATTACCTCTTCCTTCCCCTTCCTCCCACAACTGTAGTCTGTTCCACTTTTCAAAAGCATAGAAGTTTGCTTTTACTGAAACTTAAGGCTATTATGAAGCGTGGGGCTCGTCTTTCAAAACTAGGTATAAAAGTCAATCCACTCTAGAAAGTCTTAGCTAACTCTAAGTACAACCATTTGTTTTCCGAAACAAATCAACTCATTTTTATATTTGGAAGACAAAAACTTTTATACTTCATACACCTACTTTTGTCCTAGAAACCAAATGCCCTGATACCAGGAGTTACCACTGTAAGGTAACTTCAGCCCAGGACGCCCACCCTCTGCTGAATCCAGATGTGCTGGTGGGAGAGGTTCATCATCACTTCCTTTGCCTCTAAGTACCAGATTATCACAAGATCTGCTACGGAACATTTTAAAGTTAATCCACCTGGCTTTGAGACAGGCTGAGGACGGACTCACACAAGCACATCTCAAGAAGCAGTGGTTTCTGGGAAGATGAAGTCTGCCCACAGCCTCAGTGTTCCCACCCAAGAGAGAAGAATACGAAGGAGCAGCAGAAACGGTCGCAGTCCCTGCCATAACCACAGCTCCCAGTTGTCTTCACGGGCACAAGAGGATACTTTGTTTATGCATCTGCAAATGTTCAAGGCATTAGAGGACTTGCATTTGAGAGGGTGAGGATCCTTTCCACCAGGGGGAAGTGGGTAATCTTGCATCCCCCGAATTAGGCAACTGTGTTGCTGGTGGGTTTAAGAGTCAGCTGAATCTGGACCCGAAGCAGCACCAAGCTAGGTAGGGCTTCACAAAAATGGCTACAACCAACTCTTCTTCCTCCTAACCTTAAAGTGCTGGGAAAATGCAGCATGACCAGATTTAGTAGCCTAGGAAAAAATACCCACAGTCCTACCAAACATACCATTTTCTAACATGACAGACAAGCCTCCTAGGAGCTTAGACCTTAAAATCCCCCACAGATGCTGAGAAGAGACATGGAACATTTCCATGCACATGGAAAAAATACAACCTACCACCCTGAAGAAACTGGTTAACTGCAAAAACTATGGCAACTCCAATCTTGGTATGGTCAAAAAGCATTTTTAGAATAAAAGTGACCCTTTCTAATGCAGGGCCATCACTTCATTTGTCCGATGGCATTTTTCACTAAAGAAATGCTCCTCCAATTACATACATCACAGATAATACTTTAATAATAATACTTTAGGTGTCATTTAAGGTTTATAACTTGTTAGAAGTTAACTTTTTTTTTTTTAGACACATTTCCTACTTCATCTTGAAAGGACAGCTAATCTTAAAACAGAGGCATGTGGATACAGACTCACTACCTAGGGGCCATTTCCAAACATCCTCAGTCTGACTCATTTGAGACAAGACAGCTTTTCTTTCCCCAGGGAAATGGGCTCCTTTCCAGTCAATACTTCACCAGCCACTGCATACACGACCGACCTACCGACCAGAAGCATCAGTGAAAAAGCAACTCCCGCTACAGGTACATTAGATACGGGCTCTGACCAACAACTGCAAAGTTGGCTGCACCCGCTGACAGTTACAATCTCCCCCACAAAAGCTTATTTTTCACCTAACAGAGAAAGCTAAGCATGGCACGTATCGGACTGCAAGAATCAGTCATCATCCTCAGTTGCATGGCATTGCGAAAATAAAGTTGCGTCACTTTGTAACACGTTATAAAAATTCACCGATTACCTTAACAGACTAGAAATAATCACTGCAATTTTCCATTAAATATAGCATCATGAATTCAGTGAAATCAGAAAAGAAGTATAAAAAAGCCTTTCAAAATAGCTCCTTAGTTATACTTTGCTTGAACTGAACCCTTGGCGTATGAGCAGCATGAGTAACCTCATTTCATTTTCCACCATAACTCAAGACGGAACACAAACAATAAAAATAAGAATAATCTATAAAAAACACAGTACCTCAGAAATCTATGTAAAAAAACATACGTCTGTATCAAGGAGCTCAGTAACAACTTAAAGCACCACTCAAAATTAAGTACCATACATGTTACAGTACATGCCATTTATTATGACAATTTAAGGCTAAAATAGGTACGACTCCCTTATAAGTCAAGCTTTCTTATATTTATAAATGCATACAAACATTAAGTAGATACAAATGCGTAGGGGTTTTTTTATTGCTCTGAACTGTCTACTGCAATGTTCGACTTCCCCAGATGTCGTCTCAGTTTGCCTTTTTCCTTCAAGCTGAAGTCCTACAATTGCAACTTATGGCACTTGTACGATTACAGACCTTCTTTGATTTGAGCTGTAAATAAATTCCAAGACATATCAGACAAAATTGCCCATTACTGCAAACTTTGTAACTTAGTTAACTAAACATTCGTCCATAAGATACATAACAATTCACCACAAAGATTATTTCTGCAATTCTTCAGGAAGGGTTTTCTTTTCAAAATAATAGGTCTAACCAAGCGGCAAACAAGACAACCAGCAAGAAATGATTGACTAGTACCAGTCTAACAGACTGGGCTTTAAAAAAAAAAAAAAAAAAAGCTGAATACGTGCTCCAAAACAAAGAGCAAACTTTTCTTCTTGCTCATAGAGCAATTATGTTTCCTAATTACGTAGGGCAAGGCCTCATTCTGCCAGCGACAAATTCTTTGACTGTAGCTTGTCCATTTCTTGACCAATATTTCCTTCAATGGTATCACACTGGGCAAGAAAAACCTGAGAATAAGAAACAAACAAATTTTATTTGATACGCAATTACAGCAATGGTAGATGCTTCTTAGGAACAGAAGCTGCAGTTTCCATCATGAATTCAAAGAAGGCAACTCAACAACCACCCTCCGGTTCAGTTTTAATAATAGCTTATTCACAATTTTGTTTACCCAGAATCCAACAGAAGCATGGCATTTGATTAGGCAACAACGTGGTTGCCCATCCTCACCAGTCCTGCCACTGAAGTACTTTGAGGTGATCCAAAGTTCATAAACAACAATAAGGATCATAAATGTTCAGGCAAGTTAGTGCTTCAGTTTGGAACATGACGTTTAAACTCCTTTCTGAAACACATACTTCTGTAACCGAGGGTGAGAGCGACAAACCTACTCAGTCAAATCCAAAAAAAGCTTTCATTAAACCAAGGCCTCTTCTCTTTCTCCTGACTACAGGGCAACAAGAACCCTCACCTGGGTTCATGAGTAGCTGGTGTGCCTCAAAAAACAGAAGGCTCCTTACCAAAAAGGGCAGTCCACAGCACCTTAAGCTTCCTTAGAACCTGCCCACAAGTTCTTACAAGTATAGCAACTCACACACAGCAATTAAGAGCCAGCAGCCACTGGTCACTTTGCTTGTGCCGCACACAGCACAACGTGCCAGCGCTTTAAGCCAATACACTCTTTTAGGCCAATTCTAATGTATGATAGTACATCGTAGTTTCTGAGCAGACTGTCCCACCTTCTATGCACATCTTGCTATGTCTGCACTAGACTTCAACAGTCAAACCAGACATTCAATGTTATTTACATTAAGATGACATTAAGAAACTTCCTTCCCCCTAAAGAAGCAAACTGTTGTGCCAGATTAATGTTTCTCAACCACCACACCATTTTGAGTCATCTGTCTTGAAGCAAACCCTTGAGCTGGCATCAACTCACTTCTGTAAGGACTTGAGGGATCACTCAAGGTAATAATAATTGCAGTTACTGGCTGCAAGTGTTTCCTATCTGTCTCCCCATTCTGGAAGATGTGATTGCCAGCAACAGAAAGCACTTAATAGCTCCCCCTCACTTTCATGAATACTGAAGAGTAATAAGCATAACTTGACATCGTTTTCTCACTCTGGAAAAACAAATTGCTGAAACCCCTTCAATTCTTCTGCAGTCCTCAAAGCGTTCATAACCTACAGTTGCAGAACGCCATGCCTATAAAAGCACAACAATAATCCTGATCTCGGCTCAACAGAGTCTGTTTTATGCTTTAACAGCAGATCTTATACAAAACCCTGCTTATTTCTGCAATAACTTCACTCAAGAGTGGAGCTCTAGTAGCTTGCCATGAGGGTTATTGCCATACCTCTATCACAAACTTTTGCTGCTTTGGTTAGACACATGGAATCAAGAGCGTGTTCAGAGCCCCACATAACATAGCTACGGCAGCAACCATCTTCATTTCAATTTGCATTATCTGAACTTACCTCTCTAACAGACTACAAAGGGCTTTGTCCCTAAAGCTATAACAAAAACCATTTCTACTATGAAGTACTTCTTGATAAGGCTTCCTCTAAAATAGATGGCCATTAAAAAAAAAAAAAAAAAAAGGGAAACATAGCTTACAATAAAAGACAAAACATTTCAACTTCATACATGAATGCAAAGTACTTTCACAAGTAATTTTCAGGAGTCTAACCTGTGACTGAAGCTAGCACAACACAAAGAAAAGCAGTAATACGAGTAGCATTACCATTCATTTATGGAAGTTTGGCTTTTGGGGGAGGAGGGAGAGAGGACAAATTCCAGTATTTAATAACAAACCTTCAGTTCAAGGTCTCTAAGGAAGCGATGACTAGGAACTTGTAAGCATCATACAATAGCAAAGCAATGAAAAAACCCACCCCCAGCACAGCTGCTCTTCTGTACAGATTTTACTTTGGAGACTCTCCATAGGAAGTTGGTATGTTGCAAAAGAAGCTAAATTTTCCAAAGAACACCTCTAGCAAGGTCCAGCAGGAGTTAGAGTTGACTGTATCCTTGTACCCAGACCTCCTCATTCATTACTCCAGCCCACCGAGATATGGGAAAGGAGGAATCATCCCATTTTCTTTCCAAGTTATCAGAATTACTTTACATCATCAGGCAGCCATAAGGCCAACCACTAATGTAAATTACAAACAATATCTGAAGACAGCAGGAACTATGAAAATCTGTATTTTTGTATAGTGTTTTATAAAGCTATTAAATAGCTCTTAAAGGGAGGTCATAAGAAATAACAATATAAGAACAAACACTGAAAAAAATCTAAGCTCTAAACAGCTCCCATTTTCACAATCTCTTGGTATACAAGTATCCAGCATTAACAGAAAACAAAAAAATAAAAATACTCACCTGAACCCTTTTCACCAACCCCTTCTTTTTCAGTTTGCAATCACTGAAATTCTCTGGCAGATTCTGCAGTAAAATAAACAAACAAGTTGATGCAGCTTAACATTGAAATGAGAGTATTAAACTTACAGCAAAAACTAAACGTATCAAAGATTCCTCTCAGCAAGCATCCTGAAAATGCCACGCCTGCTCAGTCAGGATGATTACACAAGAAAGAATTTCAAGAAAAAGTCATAAATTCAGTAAGTCTGGGATACAGAATGCTGATTGCAAAGACTGAGCTGACTGAGCTAGCAAATTTACCACGAGTCTTTAGGTAACGTACAGCAATAACTGCATACACTGCTTTTGTCTACTGTGGCGTGTGTTAACCATTCTGCTGGGCTTCAACTTCACATTTTTTCAGAGACTGTAAGATGAATTAATTTCTTACAAACACATTAACTCAATCCCTTGCCATCATTAGAACATATCATCAGTAATGAAGGCATTGCCACTCTGTTTAAGCAGTATGTCTGCCCTTCTCCACAATCTACTCACGGAAGGGAACAGATGTGAAGTGTTACATACTGACAGCTTTCAATTTCATTCAAACCGCATAATCTTCCATACTCCTACCACCCGATATATCCACGTATGTCATCTTAGCAAATGTTATATGTATATACTTTGTCCTTTTGGAGCTGTGTGAAATTGGGGTGTTGGTGAGGAACTGTGCTCAGGTTTACAATGCTTTTTTGAAACAGGTAAAACAAATGATTATCATATAAAGTTTATGTGAACATTCTTAGAAACATTATGCTCTCTGTTGAAAATGCATAAAAATCTTGGAGTTTCTCACGGTATACCTTTTACTTTCCACCCTAACTCCATACCAAAGATACAGGTTTCCCTATACTACCCTCTGTTTCTTTTCAGCTGAAATGCAAAGCCCACCAGTAGGTTTAGATACATAACCTTTGATAACAAACAAAAAAAAAGCTCTTTTCTTTTAGCGTCCAGCCAAATATACATGGTCTTAAATACAGGAGTCTTGCACATAACCTAATATAGGAGTTAAAAATACACAAAACTCCACAGTAAAAAAACCAACCATCATGTGAAGTGAAACTAGAGGCATCACTGAGATCCCAGGAAGTTCAGGGATCACACTGCTCCAGTATTTGTGCAGTAATTAGCACACTGTAAGTGATATCAGACAAAGAAATGATAATCACCAGGCTTAGCACGTGTTAGCAGGCTCATCACTGTGGGTGATGAGCAAATCGGCATGCAACAGAGCGAGCTGGGACACATTTTTACATTTTACCTCTACATAAACTTCGGGTTTAAAATACCTCTCACTCTTTCTACGCTCAGCTGGAAGAAGGAATGCACCATGCTGCTTCCTGTCTCCTAGGAGAGTATGAAAGTTGGAAGTGGGAGTAACTACTACAACACTAACCTCTTCCCAGGGTGAGGGTTTTTTGGTTTATTTTCTTAGTTTGGTTTTGGAAGATGAGTAAGATAAAAAAACCCTTCTGTTCCTGTAGTTCCAGCTTCCATTCCTGGTGCTCCAGTACCAGTTTTCCCAAACAGCAGCATTTTTAAGCTGTATAGAACTCCTATCAACTTCTAACACTTCCCTTCAAGATCAGAAAAGGCATCTCCCTAGCTGAGAGCTTTCGTGTCAGACTGCACCTTCTGAAACAGAACCAGAAACTGGACATACTTCTTTCAGGTGGAAAAATGACCATCAGTATCAGAGACACAAGAGAGTATGCGGATTAAGGGAGATACCCTTCCAAATGAAAACCGGTGCAGTATTATCTTACAAACAGGGACAGAAATATCTGAAAACTAGATGTTGGGGTTTTTGTTTGTTTGTTTGTTTTATTGATGTTAATCCTCTTAATACCAAAACCACTCTTTAGTTTGTCCTAAGTTTGTCCCTTCACCTATCTATCATTTCCAACTCCTCTTCTTTTGTGAGAAAGAGAAGCAGCAGCTGTGAAAGTTACCAGGCTAACTCCAGGAATCTGTCATGCACGATGTAAATCCTTCAACAAGAGCCTGTTCTACGCTGGTTGCTTTCTTAATTTATGTAATGTTGCCTTACATTACATAGAATCATAGAATCCATACATGGATTTACAGTACAGGATAGGTTCAGAAGCTACTACATTTTCAACAGTCTGCCTAAAATGAAAACTCCTTTTTACAAGCGGCACATGTCCATTTCCCAGAGCACAGCTTTTTTTCAGTTGTTCACTTTGGAAGCTACTTTGCTCTTCACAAGGCATATTTTCTAGTACTATGTACTGCAGTAAGCCCTTGCTCACTGTAGCATGCTAAACCCATATGTCTTCTTCCAATAAAGCAGGACCCTGTGAAAAGATTTTTCTTGCTTTTCTTGCAGAAACTGAATGCTCTAAAGACATTAAAAAACAATTGAGAAGTCCACTTAAAGCTGTGGGTGAATTCTCTTCAAACACCAGTCCTCATTTGCAAATAAAAAAAACCAGCCTTCGGAGTACTTACAGTTGTCGCAGGGAAAAAAAAAGTTGAAAAAATATTACAAAGTTATATGAAATATTCTATTAGGCATAGAACCCTGCAACCACATGAGAAAACATTCCGTATTTTCCCTTGGTTTTCAACAACTCAATTCACTTTTTAATATTAACAAAATACAACAAGAAACATTTAACAGAGTATTTGATGCAGACTATTTTGACTCCATATATGTAATAGCCTGAGAGAACAAAGATGGGTTAGGCCTAATTATTAACGGCTGATTCTTACCAGAAAAAAATGTTATCTCATTGTCACAGAAACTGTCTTACGCCCTGAAATTTTCCATTACTTGGAATTTCTTAATAATCAAACTAAAAATGAAATTATACACTAGGTTAGTTACACTGCCTACCCCCCTTTCCTGAGTACTTATTTCAGGCTGTACTTTCTGTAAGTCTGGCTTATGCAAGTATTCCTAAAAATCTAAAATAGCTGTTTAACAAACAATTGTCTATCATCAGAATAGGCCTAAGTTAACTTTCAGTAGCAGACAGGGAACTCCACCTGGGCTTATCATACCAAGTCTGTTTCTAAAACAGATATTGATAACTGGAAGAAACTTTGAAATCTGTGCATCCAAACTCCTCTGTTTTCTTGCACACCCAAACTCTTCTGTTTGCTTGCACACCTTCATAGCTGTTTTTTTTTTTTTTTTTAAAATCACACCTTGTAATCCCCTTAGCAGAGACACGGAACCAGAAGACCTAAACGTACTAACTTATCAAGCTGCTTAAAAGGTGTTTTGCAATTAAATTAGTAAAGTTTACAAATCTTAACATCAGATTAAATCTCACAGTCTCTCTGTTTTACCTTAGTCAGCTTACGTCTCCTCTCCAGGAATACGTTGTCCAACTATTCAGGGTTTAACAGGTGAAGCTGGCAATAAACCTTAAGTCACAATAACATTTCAATATTTAATTAAAATCAAATTTAATTAAAGAAGGAGTAGCTTAAGCAAAAGTAGTGCTTATGCAAAACTTGCCAAATCTACATTTTGGTGCTAGCATTGCTTGCAGAGCAGTGGTTTGGATTAGTATATGCCTTTCTACTGCACAGCATATTCTTGCTTTTATAGCAGGTCTCCTCTTTGCATTGCGCTTCTCTGTGACAAAACCCTGCTCAAGTCTCACAGTCCTTGGCCTGTAGGGTCTGAAAAAAAAGTGATGCAGTGCTGGCTTCACCCCAGCAACTTCTGTAGAACTCCTGGGCGCATGTTCTTTACCCTCCCCCCATCCACCCAGAAACAGAGCCCACGTCCCCCTGTTAACCCGTGGCTATCTCCCACCCCACACCCCCGAATGCAGAGCTGTTTAACCACATCTCTTCAAGAGTTCTCACCCTGCAAATACACTGACGAGATGCACTGCAGAGACACACACATTACATCCTCGAAGACTCATCTTTTGCATGCACAACACTCATGCTTTGTACAAGAAATCCTTAAAACCAATCACGGTTTACACAGCAATAAATTAATGCATGTGCCTCTAGATCCTCTCTATTCTTGAGTGTTCTTTTAACTACAAACACAGCATCCCTCTCTCCTGAGCACTGCTTCTTACAAAACACAGACTCTTGTCATTTCCCTCTCCCACCTGCTCTCCTAACGAAACCACCTCCCTTTGCCACAGAACGTCACCTTCACTTCTGCTCAAGTTCCATTTGTTTTGAAAGTGCTTCCAATAACCATTTCTAAGCTTAATGTTACCACCACATCTTTGCTCTCCTCTTTGGTTATTTCTTACTTCCGAAAAGATAGACCCCAGTAGGTAATATCTGATGCCTGAATCAGACTTTTTTTTACGCTTTATAGAAGCGTAGTCAGTTAATAAACAAAACAAATGCTAGTCAAATTTATTATTTATGACTACCTTATCGGAACCAAAGGGACACCATTCTTAAAATAGGCCATCTCCTACACTAGCAGTCACTAGCAATAATAGCTAGAAACATTTTTGCTTTGTTATCAAATTGCTTTAAAAAAAAACCAAAAAAACCACTCTGCTACACATGGCACCAATGCTAATCAGTCACAAGCAAGGATTTTTTGCTGACACCCCATCCATCTAACAAGAAGCTTTTTCGTTAGTTTCCTTTAAAAATCCAAAACAAGGTACAGTGTTTTAGTGTCTAGTTTTTATTGACTACCAGCCCTTCACGCTTTTTTACCTTATTGTTAAATAAGTTGGTAAATTGGGTAAGCACATAATGTTGACACTGAATCTTCTTCATCGAAGTAGACATCTGTGTGGCTTCTTTAAAGGCAGCTATTAAATGGCAGCATTTGTCAATGGGTTTTCTGAATGCAGAAGTGGTAGCTAAGTGCTCTGCTCTCACTGAGAATGACAGTATTTTCATGTTCCTTGTGCTTTAGAAAAATTTTCCCCCAAAGCTTTGCTTTTATGATCCATGCTAAGAGATTTAAGAATTATAATAAGAAATGTTTATCAAATGCTTATTTATCCAGATAAATTCAAAGGTTTAGTAATAAGTTCTCATCTTATTGTAAGTGGCAAAACTTCCCAGAAGCATGGAAAATCTTTGCTACAGGCACAACGACGGGTTTTTTTTCAGAATACTTCTTTCTTTTAATCCTTGAAACGTCAATTTGATATTGATTTACCAGAGAGCAGTATAGCAAGGAAAAGGAGACAGTGCAAAACGCTTCATCAGAACAGTAATTTAAGTAAGTTTTACAGGGAATTACAACAACAAAAAAAATCCTCAAGAAAGGATGATGGACTACCAGAACATAACTGTGAGTCAGTAATGTTATCAATATCCTCAGTACCAATACATACAATCTGCAGATGATTCTGTCGTGAATTTATGTAAACAAAATCAGTGACTGGTATTTCAGAAGAGAAAGGTGGTTTTTTCAGTTGTTAGAACAATCTGTTCTCTGCAATATTGTCTTTCTAGATTACAAATCTGCCATTTAAAAAGAAACCATCATGAGAACAAAGTAACCTCTCAGACTGCAGTATCGGTGACAGACTTCATGTAAATTAGAGCAGGCTCACAAGAAGTACATAGCGTCATGACTGTGGATTTAACTTTGCCTACTGATCTCAGAAAAGGTTTCCTTTTTTTTTTTTTTCTTGAAAAAGCCTTTCAGTTATTTAAAAAGCTGTGCCAGCTGATCAAGTCAAGGATTTTCTGTGTTTACTCACTGAGATTTGTAGTAAGTAGTGTACTTTGACTTTTACTCCTGGACCAAATGTTTTAACAGCTGAAATAAATGGCATTTCTGGTGACGGATACACAAATCTTCACCTGTTGAACATGACTCAATTTGTATTCCTCCTGAAGAAAACTTCAAAGATGTGTAGCTTATAGGAAAGTCTGACTATGTCACAGCATTCAAAAATGTGTAAGATGCTCGTAAGATCCCTCCACCCTTCCTGTTCTGGAAGCAGTAGCTATTTAACACATTTAATGTTAAAATGTTTAAGTTACAGCTACTCTACCCAAAAACATCCCTTCAAGACTTCCCTTTCACACCTCTGACAGCAACACCACTCTATTTTTTCTCTCCCACCCCAATACTGCACAACTACTGACTTACTTCCTAATTCACTTCTTTTAAATTCACAGTTTTTGAACACATGGAGTCTAGTGAAAAGGAGTGTTAGTTCCAAACTCAGCTCCTCTAATTAATGAGCTTGTCTGCTAACAGTAAGGGGGTGACACCCCTAGAATAGACAGAAAACAATATGCAAGCTTCCTCACCCTTAGCTCTCTATAACCATACAAATCTCATTCTGTACCAAGCTAAATGTTTTTCATTGACAGCCAAGGCACTTTAAAGAGCTTTCACAGCAATTCTGCCAAAGAAGAAAACTGGAACATTTATAGTGTGAGCTTACTGTATGTTTCACTTCTACAATGCACCCATTCTTCTGTCTTCGCAGGAAACAGCTCGTTCACTTTTTTTTTTTCACGCTTATCTTTTTTTTTAACATGCTGTTGATTGAATCAATAGCACATCTATATGGCCAAAAGCATTCAAGAGATTGTCAGAACTTGCTTTTTACTTAGCTAACAAGAAGAACACTAAATACTGTATAAAACAATTCTGAGATACAGATAAAACACTTTCTGGAAGCTTCATGCTTTCCTGCTTCACATTTCTATTTACCATTTCTTACTTCAGTGGAACCCATTTATCGTTCATATGCATACCTCATTACCGATCTGTGTTGCCACCTCTGTATGTTGCACAACTGCAGTACAGCTAAGTAATAGCTCAGGAAGTTGGTGGCCTGTTCATCTGATCTGGTGTAATACCAGTACACTGAACAGCTACATTTTACGTAAAGATTCCACCCAACTACAGGTATCTCACCTGCAAGATTTCACAGAAGTTTCACAGAAGCTCAGCTTTCATGACAAAAACCACAGCCACCTTTGTTTATTAGAACCAATAAATATGGACACATATGGAACGTGTAATGTAACTTCAATCCCTGGTAATAAAAAACCTCACTTATTTCTGGCTTTAAAAACATGAAGCTTGTCAACGTTATAGGCTCTTATACAACAAAGTAACAAACATCTATTACAAATATTAAAAGATACTATTTATAATTAGTTTTAGCTCTGGCTGCTGCACTTCCATAAGAGGCAACACTGAGGCGCAGGGACTCCGTTATTTCCTAAATCTAAACACGAAGTCACCAGGTTATAAGTCTTCTAAAATCTTCTACTAAGCCTAAAAGTGCCTTGTCCAGTGCTATTCAGAGTATTTTGGATAAGGAAATAAATAATAGCACGATTTCTGTTTAAGCCATGCAAAAAGTACCAGAATCAAAAGTAAACTTGGAAAACTCAGTTTGGATTAATTAGGAAGCAGCGACAAGTGTTTTCCAAAGCTGCTTACTGGGTTCCAGAACTGTACGCCAGCATAGACGTACTCACTTGTTCCTAAATACGACTTAGTATCAGAAATTGAAGGGATCAGAAATAAGCTTTAATCCCATCCAAATGAAACCACTGTCACCTTATTGCTATTTTCATGATAACATATAGTAAATCTGCCACTTCAAACAGGGAATCAGTTACACAAAGTCTGTATGTCTAACAGCATTCAAGAACTGTCACCAAAATATTTTCCTCTATATGAGGCAGAAAAGGAAAGGGAAATTTTAAGACTTTAAAATACTTAGCATATTACAATTTTTTAAAAAAAAATTATTTAAGAACTGTTGGCTATAACAAACAGCAAAGGCTAATTTACCATTAAAGGTGCACAATATGAAAGGAAGAAATAAGTTAATGAGCTCCCCACCATTCCTAGGAACACATCCATACAGCATAGCATTTGATGATGGCCAATTCAAATTATTACTCTATGATTTAGTCTGCTGCTGAACTTTTTCAAAGTGTCCATCAATTAAACTACATTTGGTTCACCAATTACAGGCGTTTGCATGGAATCTTGCTGAAACAATCCCATAAAGGGCCACTGTGTGAAGGAGTAGACCCAAAGAGATCACTACACAAAAGCAGCATCTTTTCTTCAGAGCAGGATAGTATGATCATGATATGCAACACAGTTATATAATGAAGTTTACAGAGAACGACCAGCAGACAGAGAAACAGATAAAGGAAATACCCTAGTTGCCATAATCTTCTATGTATCTCTGCGCAAGTCCCTTATTCTCACCTAGCTTTCAGCTTACTACACAATACAGGAAGATACATATTATACTCCGGAAATATGCTGTAAGGTTATGATCCATTAATGACTGTGAAGCACTTGGATACACCCCAGTACACTCCAAAGAAAGAATCTAGTCTTCAGTATGCAGGCATCTCAAACAAAAGTACCGTCAGTCCACATATGACTGACCAGAAAATTCTTCAGTCTTCAGGATCTCCTTGTTCTTATGCAATACAGAATACAAAGTGTATCTGATGGGATTTTTTCCAGACCTTTACTGTTACCGTGAAGTTTAACATGAAACTTTGCCAAGACAAACTAAAAGGGTAAAACTTGAGTAAAGGATACCCATTTCATGTAGTCTTAACAGGCTGCTGCCCCAAATGAAGCTCTTCTGTAGAATGGGGATGCATACACAGGCATTAATGTCACCATTTAGAAATAGATGCTGCCAAGTAGTCTTTTGGAGACATACAGGGGCAAGAGCTAGATATTAAAGAAAAAATGAGCAAACCAATTAACTAATTTTGAAAGCCAAAATAAATTTGTTAGTATTTTAAAATATCAAATAAAGTACAAGAAAGATATACTCTTAACAGTAAGTTTCTGTTGGGATTTGACCCTCTTCTCTGGTTATTTACTTACAATGGCATCAATCTGTTCCAGGATCTTCATGAACTGCTCTGCAGTTCCTTTTACCCTCTTGTCCAGCTGTTTTAGTGCTTCTGCTTGGAGATCCTTTGCTAAAAATCCCTAGGAGGAAAAAAGAGGGAAGGAAAGACAAAGGTATTCCATACACTACAGTGTACTCATCTTAGAAAACCTGTCAATCCACTACAGTAGAAAACATCTTTTACTATTTCTGTAGTTTCAAGTATGATAAGGACTCCAATCTCAATCTGTATTCTATCAATCCTTGAGATGCTAAATGTAAGATCTGCTGGGATTACTTAAAAGATTAAACAAGTAACAGACATTTTCATTTGGACTTTGAGAGAACTCTCTCTGTTTCATATTTTTATGTTTTATGTATATCTGAGGAATGTAATTTTTTCAACATGCAACAACATTTACTTTTTTCCAAGCATTGACACATCTCCATTTTTCAAACTCATAAATAGCATTTGAAATTCAGTAAGAATTTTACAGGCCCCTTGGACAGTTAGGAAGTGCAGCCTATTACTGACTACACAAAACCTTTAAACATTTTTTTTAAAAATATATATACCTACAGAACTGTTTTGCAAAGATATAAAATGACACAAAACTGGCATACCTTCTGGATACTTGTGAATTCTTTATTAACTTCCTCTAACTTATTAGCTATTTGCTCCACTGACTTCTCCAAATCTTTTAACTTCTTTAATTCAGCCTCTTCTTCTGGACTATTCTGTGTATTCAAAAGTACAATACTTACAATGTAACAGAGTCACTATGCAGCTAAAAAGCAGCAAGAGTAGTGGTACAGACGTAAAGGCTTTTGCTGATTTAAAATACATACTACACTGTGGTTATTCTTTCCATATTTTAATACCTATCAAATAAGCTTCTTTCAAAGCTTAATTACAAATACAGTCAAAGTGGCAATGTACATAAACACATTAAATGAGATGAATTTGAAGGGAGAAAGCAAAAGTGCAAACTTTTTTTTTGTTAGCTTAGCATCTTTAAAGTAGAGGTAACATTTATATCAAGATATTACCTTGTCCTCAACTTAGCAAAGCCAGCCACAGTAATTTCACTAGAAATAAACCAACAGATTCAGTAGCTACAGCTTTTTTTTTTTTCTTTTAACCAGAAAAATAAAATGATCAGTAAGGTCATCAGTGCACGGAAGGTTCATGAGCACTGACAAGCAACAGATTAGGCAGAAGTCAGTCAATAAATTTCAGAAATGTACAAACTGCACAGTTATTTGTAGTACAATGTGAGACTGAACTCAACTTTCTGGGTAGGTATACAAAATTAAGTTTATGCTGTAATCTTTTTCTGTGTTCAGCAGCTGAACCACTGACAAATATGATGACAACTTAAGGAAAAAAAACCAAACAAACCACTTACCCTTTTCCCAATCAACATGACTTTGCAACCATTTTTAACACCAAGTGCTGACAACGGTTGTTCCAGTTCTTTCAGAGACTTCCCTAAATGGAAAATGAGAGAGGGAAAAAAAAACAGTTAAAATACAGTTAGTGGCATAAGAACATCTTTTTGAAGACATTCAAAACATGGACACCTAAGAGTAACCAAGATGAAGGTAACATCTATAAGAAACATTGACAGATTTATAAATTACCTTTGTATATCAGCTTCTGAAAAGGAACTGGAACTCCAGTGACTTGTTCAATAAGTACAGCCATGTCTTGTAGTGTAGGTTCACCATCTTCTTGTTGAGATGCGACCTGAATACTGTGTTTTTCATTACCTAACAAAAAAAAAAAAAAAAAAAGAGTAATACTTATTGCTACCTAGACCATATTACAGGGAATCAATTTCTAATATTTATTTCCATTAATGCAGAAAGTTCTCAAATCACTAATTCTAATGTGCAATCATAATTTTTGGTCAAAGAATTCTATTGCATTTCCTTCCTCTTGGAATGACTTACCTCAGCCCAAGGTTTAGGTTTACATTTTAATAACCTGAAGAGTTTGATCAGGCATATTCTATTGGCACAATGCTCCTGCTAAGTATTATTCCTCACCTCTTTTTAAGAGTGCCAGATGGTGGCCAGACATCCTGCAATCTAAAGCATGAAAGCACACCACTTCCTGATGTATTTTATTTTCTACTTGTAGGAGCTTTTAATGGCATGAGTCTTGTGGAATCTGAGACAATTTATCACTTCCTTTGCTCCCTACTCCTCATACGTGAGAAGCAAGTGATCAATGTCTACCCTGCCTCCCCTCCACCAGCCACCTGAGAGAATCCCCACAGTCCAAAAATTATTTCTCCCCTTAACGTGCTGATATGCAGCCTTAAGCACTTTGAGAAGCCTCAGCCTATATGGCACCTTCCACTTGTGAAGCATCCTATTCAGACTGCCTAAGATTACTTGCATGCAAACAGCAGGAAGTTCTTAAGAAAAAAAAAGAGTACATCTGTTAATCTCTGCTTTGCAATAGACCCTTTCTAGAACCCTCTGCTCCCACACACTTAAGGCCTGTCAATCTGAAAGCACCCACAGCAATCAGCCACCACTGGCTGCAAGGGAAATCAAAACAGGCATTTTTTACTTTGCAGAAAGAGAGAACTCCTTAACAAATACCAGAAAGACAATTATTCTCGTGCCACTAATTTGAAGTGCACAGATCTTTCACAAAGAGTTCTAGAAATGCCAATTTTAAAATATTCCAGCCTTCCAGAGTCACGGGACAAGTGACACTGTGGCCACAAAAACTTGCAAGCTCCAACAGTATTTCTTAATTCCAAAATGGTTTTAAGCTCAAAATCACATTATACAAACTCTCCCCCAAGCATTTTCCATAAACAGACTGTCTTCACGATTTGTTTTAGAAAAAAAAATAACCCCCAAAACTTAGGTCCTAACCTCAATATATTTCAGAAGGTTGTTTTGATACATAGAAATGCTTTGCCTAAGGGCTGTGCCTGTCAGCAGTTGAGAGAAAAAAACAAATGAACTGCAAATGGGGAAGAGAACCACTGAAGTTTGCCTAGCAATAGAAACAGTTTTAATTACAAATTATGAGTACCACTTTGGGCAGTCTGTGACAAAAATTTTACTGTAAATTCACAGCAGAGTGAAATCACCATGACAAAGACCTCATGCGTTAAAACTGGTATCACAGCTTATCGGTTTGCTTCAGTAAATTACAATACTAATTTGAAGCAACCACTAGTAGAAAATTCCAAAATCTGTTATTAAAAAAAAAAAAGCCTAAATACATTTTAAAAAGCAGGTCAATTCAATTTCTTGCAGATCGTCAAGGGATACATGTGGATCTACTACCACTCTCTTTCTCAACACTTATTTCCATCTTTCCCCACTTTCAGTCATGCATGCAAAACTTCAATAAAAATGTTTGTGCTAAGTAGTAAACCAGCATCTAACAGCAACAGGTATAAATCAGGCAGCTGAAGTCCCAGACGAACAATGCCTCTATTTGCTATTTATTAATAACAAAGTAATTAGCAGGTAAGAAAACAACTGGAGAGATAAAATCATTCTCAGAGATGACGACTGTTGGCAAACAGCAAGATGTTGGAATGGTAAATATGTTAATATCATTAAGCTATTGTCATCTTTGCAAATGAAAACCCCTCAGATGAAATGGCGATCTCTGAAGGCATCAATGAGCACACGAATCATGAAGATACAAACAGATTATTCCACAAAGTTCCTCACCAAAGGCTCTTAGATAAAACTGCCCGGTGATAAAGGAAACATTTTCACAAAATAATGCATCAAATACAACAGTAACAGCTTCAAAACACGAATGAGCAAGCAGAAATAAACAGTAAGCTCTAAAGATGGAAATAACATCACCAACATAGTGCAGAAGGAGCAGAATTTATTCTTCAATAATTAAAAAATTATCAATAAAAAATTCACAAGTTTTGTTAATAAAAATCAGCTGATGAATACCTTGCTGATTTAATACCTTACTATCCTTCTCATTCCTCCTACTGCCTCACCTAGGTCCACTTCACCGAAATTTAACCATGGTATTTCCCATCTTATTTTTGAGAACTGTGGAGTCCAGGCGATTCTTACTTCTTTGCAGTAACTTTTAATATTTATTTGCAGGCTTAACCACATCTTCCCTTTCACCTTCCTCTCTCTCCTCCTATTTCTCTTCCCGAAGAAGAAAAGCTCAGTCATGTCGGCTGGCCTTTGAGTAACCCGTTTCACCAGGTCAGCACCCAACTCTCATACTGAAGAAATCACTGCTCTCTGTTGCGTCTCGCTAACTGCAAACGTTCAAGCTTATTCAACAAGCGAGGTGCGAGCCCGTCGGGCAGCATCTGCTTTTAACACACGGTGCTGACTTCAGTGATTTATTTCACCTAAACGAAGATTGCTACCACAAAAGTGACCTCTGCTCCGTGCTCTCTGGCAAGGACAGCCCTTGTCACCTCTTCCCACCGTCACCCTTACAGCAGACCTACCCCTGTGTGGTCAGTTTAATCATCTTGCTGATACGCAAAAAGCTGGGGTTCTTTTTTTTTTTTTTCTCCTTCTGTTGGATTAGCTTAAGTGACCCGGCTTGAGGGAGACAGCTTTTCGGACACCAGTGGGAAGACGCGGCCAGCAGCGGAGTGAAACCTTACGGTAGCAGCCGGCACCCG